TCCAGGTCACAGCCCCAGCCAGTGCCTGCTGCTGAGTCCTGCACATCCCGGGAGCGGGCAGGTGCCCAAGATGAAGTGACAATCCTGGTGGCTAACCTTTACCGACCTGCTGGGAGGCAGGGAGCTTACTACCCTCCCACAGGGTCTCGGTCTCCACGTGTATCTGCTGAGCTGCTCATCCCCCTCCCCCGGGGTTTCTGGGGTGGACAGAGGGCAAAGAGTGTACGGGGCAGCCGGCACAAAACAGGGACCGATAACATGGCCACTGCTGCCGCCACACCCCAAGTCCCAGAGCGCGAGGCCGGCTCGGATAGATCCACCAGGGCCCGGGGCCTCCCCAGGTGGCGGAAGGGCCTGCCCTTCCCATCAGAGCTCGAGGCTCACTGTCCAGGGACTGAGCAGAGGTGCCCATGCAGCCCTCACACCAGTGCACACCCACCAAGCCCCAGGATGCCCTCAAGGCCCAGACCCTGGCGAGACCACCTGCCCAGGGGAGAGCCATTCCCCAGGAGGCGGAGCACTGAATTCTCGCAGACACAGCGGACACAGTTCTTAACTTGCAAGGTCAGAGGAGCCCAGTCCTCCTGAGGCTCAGGTGCTGAAGGAATAGTTCCTGGTTCCCAGAAGGAGAGCTGTTCCAGGCCCCAGAACAGAGGGGAATGACGGGAAGGCAGTGGCAGGAGCTGGGGTCAGGCCCCCCAGTCCGGCTGGAGAAGAGCAGCCCGTTCACCACACATTCCCGGCAGCTGCCCGGGCAGGCCCCACGCTGGGTACCTGGGGAGTGGAGGGTGGGACCTCTCACTGTCCCTACCACAAGGCCCAGCACTGAAGTAAAAACGCCTGCACGAGGGCTCTGCGGGGGCCCCAGCCCATACCCTGGCCTCATCCCCCAGAACAGCCCTCCCATCTGAAGTGCAGTCACCTTGACCTTTTCTGTCCCCAGCCCAGGCCGCACACACCTCTCTGTGGGGCTGCAGCACTTCCCTGTTCTCCTTTAATCACCCCGTTCATCACCATCCAGCCCTCGGAAGTGGGGGATGAGTGTCCCCATTGCGTGGCTGCTGATTCTCCCCCGCAGCATTTAGCACACGTCGGAGCTGCTCGCTCCCCCTGCCTGCCTCCTGACCGGACTGGAAGTTCTAGTGGGCTGACTCAGCCTGCGTCCCCATTATAATGGGCCTGCCCCTGGCATGCGAATGTCTTAATACATATTTGTGGAATGAATGAATGAATGAATGAATGCAATGTGCTTGCCTTCGAGGGGCTCCCAGGCTAGTGAAGGAAGCAGGCAAGTCACAGACCATTCCAGTGCAGGGTCAGAACCGAGGGGGCGGGCGGAGGGGGCATCACAGAGGAGAGTTTGTTTACAGCTGGGCTCTCACTGGCACCTCAGGCTGGACTCCTTAGGCTCCTCCCATCCTAACCACTGCACTTCCCACTCATCCTGCCCCAGGCAAACTTACATATATGTATACCCCTTTCTCCCCAGGCAGTTCTGCACCCCTGGGAGCTGAGCAGTTCTCATCTCCTGGACCCTGGAGAGGTGATCCAGGTTGGCCACACTTGGAAACTAAGTCAAAGATTGCTGAGCTGCCCCACAGCTGCTGAATCGGTGCGGCAGGGCGGGGCCTTCCATTTTATTTTTAACAAGCTCCTGGCATGACTCTGGAGTTCAGCAGGGGTGGCTGGGAGGTGCCA